TCAAGCCTTTTATTCTCCTCAAGCAAGCTGAACTAATTGGGTTTCTTCCTCCAATGAGTGTTAATTAGGCATAACTTAAAAAAACTAAGGAGAAATTTCCCGCCAGGGAGAGCAATTAAGAAAATGTCAAGTGCTCCATCACTGGAGGCTTTTAAGAAGAGACTGGACAGCCAAATTTGTCCAGAATGAGACAGGGTCTCCTGCTTGAGCAGAGGGTTGGACTAGAAGACCTCCAAGGTCCCTTCCAACCCTGTTATTCTATGTTCCAAGAATAAGCCACCTCTGCCTCCTAAGAGGGCATGTTTGACAAGAATTCAGAAGAGCTGAGAGTTTGATTTACTACAACATTTTGTCAGAGATGCCCCTTGCAGTCATCTCCATGATAGCCGATCCGTCCAACAAGCAACCCAATACTCATCCCTCAAGGCAAGCGAGCGTGTCCTTATTTCTCTTCTGCGCGAGAGAACAAATGTCTCAAGCTCCAGGGAGAAAGGACATTCTAGGAGGAATTCCCGAGGGGATGGAGTTGTTCTGTGTCACTTACGCTCTCATTGTTGTCCTCGCTCCTCATGTGGTCCGCTATGAAGCTGACGCCCTCAATGGCTTCTTGAACCTCGGGAGAAAACTTCACGGAGGAGGATCGTAACCTCAGGTCTTGATGGCTGCTGACATGATCAGGGTTGTCTGTTAGTTTCACGTTGTATCTTTGGCCTGCTGCCGAATTCACAAAGTAAGTACAATCTTTGTAGGTGTTGGAGAGATCAGAAGGCAAAGACTCCGCTTTGTTCTTCTTGCGGTTGGCCAACCGTTGGCTGGCCGACTGGTTGTGTGGTCTCCTCATGAAGAGGAAGCTTGGCAGCCTCTGAAGAAACACCACCTTGACCCATGGAGGCATCGCATGAGTGCTGGGAGACCTGTGGTGGACATTCAGCACACAGACGCTGGTCACGATCGAGAAGGTCACCAACACCATGGTGAACATCAGATACTTCCCAATCAGTGGGACGTCCAGAGAAGTTGGAGGGACGATTTTGGAGATCAGGAGCAGGAAAACAGTCAAAGCCAGCAGGACAGAGATGCACAAGGTAATCTTTTCTCCACAATCGGACGGCAGGTAGAACACCAAGATGGCCAAGGATGTGATCAAGACGCACGGTATGATGAGGTTGATGGTGTAAAAAAGAGGTTTCCTCTTGATGATGAAATCGTACGTCACGTCCACGTAGTTTGGGTCTAAAGGGTTTTCCGTCCTTCGTCCCGGCAGGGCCACAATGTCCCACTCCCCGCTGGGTGTGAAGTCATCCATACTGGCCGAGCCGGTTTTCAAAATCATATCGATTTCAGAGTGGTCGTAAGTCCAGGAGCGGAACTTGAGGGTGCAATTCTGTTGGTCGAAGGGAAAATGCTTGACTTCGATCTTGCAGGCACTTTTGTAAATGGCCGGCGGCATCCACAACATGCTTCCGTTGTGCTGAACAATCGCGTTGGTGTAGACGGAGACTTCGTAGGTGCCGTCCGCACTAACGAAACCCAAAAGCAAAAGCATAAAAAAAGGGGGAAAAAATTACGATTTTTAGTTATTTATTTAACAAAAAGATGTGCTGCCACAACAATCCATATTGACTCGACGCCACAGGATACATCAATGCTCTCCAACTTTGACAACTTTTAAGACTTGTGGACTTCACCTCCCAGAATTCCCCAAGCTAGTCATCCTCAGCCAGGCTGGGGAATTCTGGGAGTTGAAATCCACAAGTCTTAAAAGTTGTCAAAGTTGGAGAGCATTGATGTATCCTGTGGCGTCGAGTCAATACGGATTGTTGTGGCAGCACATCTTTTTGTTAAATAAATAACTAAAAATCGTAATTTTTTCCCCCTTTTTTT